CCCCATGGAGCTTGGTGGGACCATGGCCACGCTGGAGGATCTCCACCCATGGGTTTGTCCAGGAGGAGAAGGAGCCACCACTCTGGGATTCTTCTGGAAAGCTGAACATCAGTGCTGGGCTTCCAGAAGGTCTCCAGGAGTTCCTCAGGAAGTTCCCAGAAGGTTCCTCCCTATAAGGTTTCCAAAAGGTCTCCAGAAGTTCTTCAGAAAGTTCCAAGGAGGTCTCAGGAGAGTTTCCAGAGGTTCTCCAGAAGTTCCTCAGAAAATTCCCAGAAGGTTCCTCCCCATAAGGTCTCCAGAAGGTCTCCAGATGTTCCTCAGGAAGTTCCAAGGAGGTCTCCAGAGAGTTTCCAGAGGTTCTCCAGAAGTTCCTCAGAAAGTTCCCAGAAGGTCCCTCCCCATAAGGTTTCCAGAAGGTCTCCAGATGTTCCTCAGGAAGCTCCCAGAAGGTCTCCAGAAGTTCCTTAGATAAGTCCCAGAAGGTCTCCAGAAAGTTCCCAGGAGGTCTCCAGAGAGTTCCCACAAGGTCTCCAGGAGTTCCTCAGAAGTTCCCAGAAGGTCCCTCCCTATAAGGTTTCCAGAAGGTCTCCAGATGTTCCTCAGGAAGCTCCCAGAAGGTCTCCAGAGTTTCCAGGTCTCCAGAAGTTCCTCAGAAAGCTCCCAGGAGGTCTCCAGAGAGTTCCCAGAAGGTCTCCAGGAGTTCCTCAGAAGTTCCCAGAAGGTCTCTCCCTATAAGGTCTCCAGAAGGTCTCCAGAAGTTCCTCAGATAAGTCCCAGAAGGTCTCCAGAGAGTTTCCAGAAGTTCTTCATGAGTTCCTCAGAAGCTCCCAGAAGGTTCCTCCCTATAAGGTTTCCAGAAGGTCTCCAGAAGTTCCTCAGGAAGCTCCCAGAAGGTCCCCAGAGAGTTCCCAGGAGGTCTCCTGAAGTTCACCAGATGGTCTCTGGAATGTCTTCAGAAAGTCCCCAGAAAATCCCCAGAAGGTCTCCAGAAGGTCCTCAGAGGTCTCCAGGGGACTCCCAGGAGTTCTCCTGAAGGTCCTTAAAAGGTTCCCAGAAGGTCCCTGCAAGATCTTCAAGGAGTTCCCAGAGCATCTCCAGAAGATCCTCGGTCACTCTCCAGGATGTCTCCAGAAGATCCACACAAGGTCCTTAAAAGGTCTCCACAAAGTCCTCAGGAGGTCTCCAGAAGGTTCCCAGAAGTTCTCCAGAAGATCCTCAAAAGCTTCCCAGAAGCTCCCCACAAGGAATTCTCCACAAAGTCCTCAGAAGATCTCCAGAAGAATCCCAGAAGTTCCTCAGAAAATTCCCACAAGGTCCTCCCTGCCAGGTTCTCAGGGGGTCTCCTGAAGATCTCCTGATGGTCTCTGGAACATCTTCAGAAGGTCCTTAAGAACTTTCCAGAACATTCCCAGAAGTCCCTTGAAGATCTTCACGAGGTTCTCAGAAACTCTCCAGGTGGTCTCCAGAAGTCCTCAGGAAGTTCTCAGAAGTTCTCCAGAAGTTCTCCAGAAGATCCCCAGATGGGTTTTAAGAGGTGCCCAGAAGATCCTTTCAGGGTTTCCAAAAGGTTCCCAGAAGGTTCCTGGAACTTCTCCAGAAGATCCCCAGATGCTTCCCAGAAGCTCCCTCTGAGGAGTTCTCCAGAAATGTCCCAGAAGGTTCCCAGAAGTTCCTTAGATGTTCTCCCAAAGACCTCCAGGTCTCCAGAGGTTCTCCTGAAGTTCTCCAGAAGATCCCCAGAAGTTCTCCAGAAGTTCTCCAGAAACGTTCCAGAAGGTTTCCAGAAGTTCTCCAGGAGTTCCTTAGATGTTCTCCCGAAGACCTCCAGGTCTCCAGAAGTTCTCCAGAAGTTCCCCACAAGTTCCCCAGACGTTCTCCAGGAGTTCCTTAGATGTTCTCCTGAAGACCTCCAGGTCTCCAGAAGTTCTCCTGAATTTCTCCATAAGTTCTCCAAAAGTTCTCCAGAAATGTTCCAGAAGCTTCCCAGAAGTTCCTTAGATGCTCTCCAGGACATCTCCAGGTCTCCACAAGTTCTCCTCAAGTTCTTCTCAAGTTCTCCTCAACTTCTCCTAAAGTTCTCCACAAGTTCTCCAGAAGTTCTCCTCAAGTTCTCCTCAAGTTCTCCTCAGGTTCTCCTCAAGTTCTCCTCAAGTTCCCCACAAGTTCTCCTCAAGTTCTCCTCAAGTTCTCCTCAGGTTCTCCTCAAGTTCTCCTCAAGTTC